CATTGGCAACAAGTCCTTCTCCACCTTTTCTATAGGCCCCCTTTATATATTGAAAGGCAGCAATAACCCTGGAATTTCCCTCCCCAGGCTAAACAACCTTATCTCCCCAAGCTAAAGAACCTCAGCTCTTCCAGCCTCTCTTCAGAGAAGAATGTTTCTAGACCTCTGACTATTTCTGTGGCTTTCCTCTGGACCTGGATGCATTGCTCCAGGTGGGGTCATGCTAGAGAACAGCAGAGGAGGAAAGTATCATGACAGTATCTTGCTTCTGTTTGCTTCAGTGTTCCTTTGTTCCTCTACACTGACTTTTAAAGGTTGTATTTGATTTTGTTTCAAATATGATTTGACTTTAGTGAACAGGGTTTTTTTCACAGAATGACTGATGCTGGAAGGGACCTCTGGAGGCTACCTTGCCCAAGCCTGCTGCTTAAACAGGGCCACTTGGAGCCCTGGACTATCTCCAGACTTCATCTCCCCTGTGGAAACCTGCATTAGCATGTGATCATCCTCAGGGTAAAAAAGTTTTCCCTGATGTTCAGAGGAAACCTCATATGTCTCAATTTGTGCCCATTTCTTCTTGCCACTGGGCACAAATGAGAAGAACCTGGGCCCATTCTCTTAGCACCCTTCCTTCAGGTATTTATATAGGTCAATAAGATAATCTCTTCTCCAAGCTGAATATCGCTTCAGTCCCAGCTCTCCCAGGTTTTTCACTTTAAAAAAATGCGCCAGTCTTTCTTATAATCCTTTGCAGGACACTGTTCAGTTGCTCTCTATCCCTCTGGTACTGGGAACATATTGAGCTATACTCTTCCTATAAAATTCTATAACCTTTTAAGATATTTAAAATAAAAGCCAAATGTAAGATGCTTTGGGATTCCTTTTTCCTTTCCTTTCCTTTCCTTTCCTTCTAAATAACTAATATTGGATGACTTGTAATATTTTCTTGTAATATTAACTTGATCCTAAGACAGGTCAAAAGACCATGGGAGACAGGTAGTTAAGGTCTTTCAGCCTTCAGGACATTCATATAATAAAGACATCCAGACAAGGCCCCCACTTTACAGTTACCTAGCCTGTGACATACTACTATTTCTGAGACTTTTTTACATTTAAGCCTTTCTGTTGCAATTATCCTACAAAGCAAAAAGACCTGATATGTAGCTCTGCTGCTGCTAACAAAATAATAACCAGCCATTTTCAAAAGTGGTGTTGGATTAGTGTCTCCACATAGCTTGCATGCAAGTCTACAGGAGGCTCCAAAACTCTTTGCAGTGATCTGTTTTGGAATAAATTAGTGTAATGCAATTTACATCAAAAACAATTTCTGAGCATATCCATTTTTCTTCCTATACTCAATCAGGAATGGAGGAATGAAAGAAGGGAATAGAAGAAGGAAAAAAAGGATGATAGTGCATTCATTGATTCATTCATCATTTCTTTTTCCATTTTTAGACTGTAAGATTATTTCATCTGCTCTCATATGAATTATAATTAATAGCATTAATAAGGTGCTTAGCCTACATTGAAAGAAAATTAATGTTATTAGCCAGAGAATAATTCTCCAAGGCATGTCACATGCAGTGACATTATAACTGTGAATGCTTCCAACATTGAATTCTGTTATACATGCATCAGTATGAAAAAGCAATAGACATACATGATCCCAAAGCTTATCACTAGGCTTTGTATTTTGGATTTTTGACATGGATTGTAATCATACTCTTCAGTACTGGTTTAAGAAGTCACAAACATGAAATATTCAAAGTATTTTATTCATGTGTTTTTTGGGCTTTTCTCCTCCTCGTATGACAATTGCCTTACAATTGAATAATTGTCCAAATTTAGTATTGAATCTCAATAAATAAACAAGTGAAAATTGAACCATTTTGTATTTAGAATTCTGAGTCTTGAGCGGACTTTTCCATCTTACAAGAAAACCTTTTGCTTTCTCTCTTGAAAATGGCACCTAAAGTCTTTCTGATTCCATCTGAGCTCTCAAATGAGGACTAAAATCTCAGTTGCATTCCATGGTTCAATCTTTATGTCTTCATCACTGGTACCTGGTAGTACTTCTACCTGCAACTTCTCCTCCTTTTCTACTCCTTTATTTTTTCAAGGCATCCACAAAGGTCTTCCACAACATGTATCAGTCAGCAGAAAACACTGTAAATTTCTTTAAGAACTCAGTGAAAGTTGGTGTATTTTTCCTACTAAAGGTCAAAGATTTCTGATGTTGTTCTATAAAGCAGTTTTCAATACACTCATCTTTTCTTCATATGCTGTGTTGTCTTTACTTAGAAAGTCTTGCAGCATAGTGCTGTATCTTGGCTATTTTGTACTTATTGTGTTGGGAACTCCCCACGTGTGGAGACTCCATTTCAGAAGGTTGATTTATTATCTTATGATATATATTATATTAAAATACTACATAAAAACTATACTAAAAAAACAGAGAGAAAAAGATCATCAGAAAGCTAGAAAGAACACAAAAAGAACAGAATGCATAATAAAATCTTGTGACTGCTCACAGCCTCGACACAGGTGGTTGTGATTGGTCATCAAGTGAAAACAATCCACATGGACCAATGGAAAATGCACCTGTTGCATTCCACAGCAGCAGATAGTTATTGTTTACATTTCTTTCCTGAGGCCCTCAGCTCCTCAGGAAGGGAAAATCCTAGCAAAGGATTTTTCATAAAATATCATAGCTACATTACTGATTTTGCAAATTACATTCATCTATGCATAAATACTAATTTCTTTCAAGTGAATGATAAAACCTCCATTTCTGAAGAGCTCACAGTATTCACTTTTTCATCTTTTCTAGACAATTTTTTAAAACTTCTTCTACTGTAGCATGTTCAGAGGCATTTCCAAGAACATATGGTTACTGACACCAGCAGTACAGTGAATCAATCTACTTTCTCTGACATAGCTGATGCATTAAAACTGGACTTTTCAGTGGAGGTTAATGGAAATAAGTACTCCCTTCAACTGAAAAAAAAAAAAAAAAAAAAAAAAAAAAGCTATATTATTCTTCCAGATTCATTTGGAAATGACAGCCATGACTTTTTTTTTTTTTTTTTCCCATCAGGCTAATAATGGAGGAGAAAGTAGCAGAGGAACTAAACACATTTTCTACATCCTGGAGAAAATATGCCATCTCTCATCAACAAGATTTTACAAGATGTAACCAAAACTGAGACCAACTGAAAAAATATTTGTTACTTTTATACTAGTAAATGACAGTTGTGGATCTGTGGATCTGTTTCCTGGTTAAACTAGCTCTACTGTCCCTGATGCTCCTGTAATGACCAGGAAAGGACAATACCTGAGGAATCTTGTGCAACTTCCCTAAATTTGTCCTAATTTCCTATATTATCGTCATTAAACTTGAATCTCTGATTTAGCCCAAGCTTTTTAAATAGCATTTTTCTGTCCTACAGTTGGTTTATTGGACACATCTCCTAAGAGCCTGTGGTCATTCTGGAAGAGAGCAGTGGTTTTCAATCTGTTACCACCTCTGCATCACTAAATAGCCTGAAACAGCAGCATGTCAGCTACCCTGCTTTCCAACTTGCTGTTTAAACCCTAGAGACACTCTCTGGGACAGCAAGGAAAAAGCAAAATGTAATGGCAGCGGTAAATAACCAATTAGGCTGGAATAAGGTAAATATTGCACAACAGAAAAAGAAACAGGAAATCAAACCCAGACAGTAAAACCAGCTAATGCCCAGTGGATTGCTACAATGCCCAGTGGATGCAAACAGAAATTATAACACATACATTATTTTATCTAATGCAAGTACCCAGTTGATCAAATGCTGGTGGGAGCTGACAGACATGGTAAAGTTTCAGGGTTGATAGAACTGGAATAAAACAAAACCTGCTTTCTCTTTACAAAACATGATAAACAAAAAAGTATTGTTCTGTTATCTCCTACATTGAAAGCCCTTCCTGAGCACATTACAATTTCCCACAATGGCTCTCCCCATTCCTGCAAATACTGCAATAAGTACAATACTACAAATCACTAAGTATGATGTGCTGCCTTTTGCCTACTGTTTCTGCAACTAGACTTCTTGAAGCAAAATATGCAAAGAACACATGTTTAACTGCACATGTAACAGCATAATTTATGTATGCATCAAAGCTAAATATCTGTTTATAGCAATTGAGTCAGAAAGCTTTCTTGAAGAAAGCCAATTTGCATTGACTTGTACTGAGAAGGGAATCAGCTTGGGGTATACAGGAAGGAGGACCATAAAGTCATCTTTGGCACCTACAATTTTGCTACTCTACCATATGATTATTTACAAATATGAACTGTTACTTTTTTTCTCAGGTGATTATCTCTGGAATCAGAGAAACACTTCTATACATCTAGATGTACAGGAAGCCTGTTGAAAGAATTAAGGACCAATTTCTCTCCAGCCTCAGAGAGAATGGAAGACTCTGAAAGGCAAATTCTTTTTTTTGGACTATTCTTCATAAACAGAAGTGGACCTCATCTTAGTGATTTCAGTAATTCAGAGAACTCACTGAAATAATTAGCAAATTAATTTTGCCAACAGTGCATATTATATACTTAATTTTAAAATATTTTGATTCTGATATCATACGGTCACTTTTTAAAATAATAGATTGCTTTATAAGAATAATCTGGATAGGCCAGATGCAGTCAGAAGCTCAGAGTGTTGGATTTAACTACTCAGCTTCAAAAGTCCAGTTAGATGTCCACATCTCTAAGTCCATACACCACCTTCACAGTCAAAGAAGGGAATTGCTTTTGTAGGACACAATCAATTTGGTAATAAAGTAGATATTACAAAAGCTCAGATTATTGTGCTTTCTAAATGACTGTTTCTTTTCCCCAAGTATAAAGGACAAATATGACAGATATACTAGAGGCGCAAATTGCTGGTCTCAATTTGGTGAACATGAACACAAGTTATCATGAATTCCTTCCACTGCTCTTAGAAGCATATGTAACATACCTACACTCCAGTCCATTTCCTCCACTGCATCACCATATAAACCATGCTTGCTCTTTCCTTTGAAATTTTCTGAAGCATATAGAGCAGTATGGACATGAAGGTAAGACAGGACGAGAAGAAATGATGTATCAGTGTTCCTGGAAAACAAAACAAACCCACAAACATTTAGTGTATTTCATAATAAGATTTCTACAAATAAATCTTTCTTCAACAGAGTTTTTTTAAAAAAGCCACCTGTCCCCCCTCAAAAAAACAAGAACCAAAAAAAAAAAAAAAAAAAAAAAAAAAAAAAAAAAAAAAAAAAAAGTGAAAAGGAATACTGTAACTGATTGCAGGATAATTCTGAATAAACACACACCCAGTAAAAATGCCACTCTTTTTCTGAATTGAAAGCAAAAATAAATGACAAAATCTATCTAAATAGTATTCGCAATATAAATTGAAAAACTTGCTGTTCAAAAGCAGGAATCCAGCAGTTTCTGAATGCAAACACCTCTCCACATTTTACAAGTATATTTTTAAAAACCTGAATACAATTTCTGTTCAAAAACATACCCTCAGCACTACCTATCCATGTGAAACACGATTTCCTTCCTCACAAAGTTATGTGGAAGCTGATCAACTAAACTGTTATGGGGACCTGGGTCTTTATTCTGGACTAAGGTATATGACCAAATCTCTTTTCTTTTAAAGCTCTCTGTGTCTATGCATGTGACTCTACACAACCTCAAAGTCACACTAACATAAAAATTTTTGTTCTCAGAGTAAGAACAGTCTCCATTGTCTTCTGTCTACTTCCTAAACAGATACAAAAGAAACAGTGCAATAAATAGACTCTGTAAATTTTGCTGTTCATGTGATCTGTCAACACGATATTTATGATCAGTTCCAGCAGGCTGTGAAAGCACAGCTCAAACAAGTACTTCTCCTTATGCATTATTTATACTACTTTACTTAAAAATGTGCCTTACTAGCCAAATTTACTGCTATATGCTCTAACAGCACTTGCAGTACATTATGCATATTGTAAATATCAGCTGAACCACAAAAGCACTACCCACAAAGCTTGTCTGGATCTCACCTTAAAGCACACAGCTAATTGCAGACTACTTTTAGTTTTATTTACCATATTTTCCATCACCAAGCTGTGGTTGATGATACCTGTGATTCACATCAACATCAAACGGAGACCATGTATTTCCTCAAGCAGTTGGTTCATCCACCCTTTAAAGAGGGGATGCCCAATACATGCACGCTCATAAAAACCACTACTTTAAAATTAACAAAAAAATATGAACATTTAGAACTTGAAAACAAAGTTTTTTAGTAGAAGAGATTAATCTGATATAAATTCTTTCCTCTCAAAGAAAAATAATTAAGTTTAATCTAGTATATTTATGATCCATTTTTCCTCTTTCCTTGGCTGGATCTGTTTTTTTACAAGTTGCATGATTAAAGCATTTTTTCTACTGGCATATACAGCAGTATATAAACACAGAATGGGAATATTGTATCCAAATTACTCACTTGATAAGTGTGTTTCTGATGGGGATTTTTTCTTCATTAAAAAAAAAAAAAAACAACCTAATTTTTTAGGAAACCCAGAAGAAAAACTACATTCTTCATGTGGAAGATGAATAAAAAAGTATTTTAATTCTCTTACAAATATTTGTGTATCATTTCTGTATTGCTTTATTAATATAAAGTACTGATCCAAAAAATCTAAGACATGTTTTTCATAAAAGATACACTTTCCACTAAGTTTTTTGTTGCTCTTTGAAAGGTCATATATGTGAGAACTTTTCACAATTTTAGCAACAAATAACAAGAGATCCCTGAGTCAATTAAAAAGGCTGAAAATATGACCAATTGAAGTAAAAAAAGACATAACTTATTTAATATATACATAAATGTAATACTGACCTTTCACTAGAGAAGCTTACTGCAAGGCAGATAATTTTTGTTTTACAATTCCATTTTTTAGTGACTGGGATTATTGTTGACTTTTTCCTTAAACACAGTTCACTGAATTGAGATTAATACACAAATTCCAGGGTAAAACACCACAAAAAATGATTTTTTACTTTTAACCCTGCAGGCTATATTTAGTTTTCATGCAAACTACCTTTTTCTAATGACATAGAGAAAATGAATTCTCATGTCTGGCTACTTGCTTTGCTAAAATTATCAACAGCTTCCATTATGAATGCTATTTTCAAGATGTAATAATTCAAGTTTGTTTGTTTGTTTGTTTGTAATAATTCAATTTTTGTTTGTCAAACTCACAGAAAGATCTAACTTTCATGAAGAGTCATCAAATCAATGACTGATATGGAAGGGCACTACATCATTCTTTTTTTTTCCAACTAAATTGACAACTTTTGATTGACAGCTTGCTGTTGGGTGGAGAAGTGACACCTATTAATATCCTATAAAAGATCAGAGGCAGCTATTTATCTCCTGTCAAAACACTCTGAGGAGAATCACGACTAAATACCTTTACTCTGACCTTGAAAATGAAATGACAATACCAGCTAGTAGGCAGGAGAGAAATTTGACAATAACAGCTTAACTCCCGAACCACTTCAAAAAACAGCTCTTTCAAAAATGTGTTTCCACTATCTTTTACACAGCCCAAACACAGAGAATCTCCTTTTCAAAAGATTTGAGATTTTTTTATCCTCACATGAGTCACACAGTTTTTTTCAATTTATCGAGTAGTTAGAGAGATTACATGCATCTGACATAAGATATTCTTCAGGGTGTTTTTAATGGATCTTGAAAACATCTTAAAACATCACATTGCTGGTGACTTGTCTGCATTGCAAAGTACCAAGTTCTTTTTTATAGTGAGGTGTCTTTATATTACTCAAGGATTCAGCTCAGGCTTGAGCTATAAAAAACAGCTTTAAAGTGCATGAGAGAGCAATTAAAACTATTCTGACTTTGTGCTTCAAACACAAGTATTTAAACTTTTTTCCTGCAAATCTGCTCTAAATGCTTGCTGCTTTGAAAATTCCTTGGGCAGTTGTTTGCTCTTCTGTGCACTTAAGTGGCACAGCTGACACATTGCAGGGAACGAACACTACCCAGAGGCGCCTGGACAAGCTCAAGAGTTCAGCCCATGAAAATGTAATGAAGTTCAACAAGGCCAAGTGCAAAGGCCTGCACCTGAGTTATATCAATCCCAAACACAAATGCAGGCTGGATGAAGAATAGATTGGGAGCAAATCTGAGAAGAACTTGGGGGTGTTGGTTGACAAGAAGCTCCATATTAGCAAAGTATGGGCTGCAAAGTATGCACTTGCAGCCCATTAAGCTGCTGTATCCCGGGCCTCAACAAAACCAGCATGATCAGCAGGTAATCCTTGAACACTTCCAGGGATGGGGCATCTGCAACTGCTCTACCAGTTCCAGTGCTTCACCACCCTTGGAGTAACGAATTTCTTCATAACACTTCATCTAAACCGGCCCTCTTTTTGTTTAAAACTATCACCTGTCACTATCTGTCCTTATCAAAATTCACGCTCCCTCCTTCTATAAGCCCCCTCAAGGTACTGGAAGGCTGCAGCGGGGTCTCTCTTGAGCCTTCTCTTCTCCATGCTGAACAACTTCAGCTTTTTCAGCCTGTCCTCATAGGAAAGGAGCTTCATCCCATTGATCAATTTCTCTGTCCTCCTCTGGACCCACTGTAAGAGGTCCACATCTTTCTTGTGCTGAGCGCCTCACACCTAGACACAGTACTCTAGGTGAATCAACACAAGCAGATAGAAACATAACATTTCCTTTCCTTTAATTTTCTTTTTACTAAAAAAGTTCTCATTCAGTATCCCCCCAGTGGATAAATTAATTAGTGCTTAATCTCCATGGATGCCTCCTCTACTTCCAGATTAGATCACCAGTAAGGCAGTGCTCTTTGTGACAGCAGTGGATGAATGCATTTCATTAAATCTTCTTGTTCCTGCAGGAGGAAAAGCCAAATTTGGGCTTAGTTTTACCAAAGCAGGACTGTTCTACATGCTAGATTTTGTTTTATTATGACTACTAACAGTGCTAAAATTCTTGTTAATCTGAATGAATCTATGAATGAATGTTTCTGTCTTGCTCTTTTAAAATACACACCTTCAAACATGGATGTGATATTTTCAATTTTTTTCAAAATCATAAAGAGAACTCCAGACTACTGGGGATAACTTATAAGAACCATATAAGGTGTTGAAAATGTAACAGAGGGAGGAGAAAAAATGTAAATATATAGAAAATCTGACTCTTTCTAATAGATATTAAAAGTAGAATTTGTTACCTCTATATCAGCAATTTTAAAAATAATTCTTCCATGCCAATAGATAAGATGCTTTTATTTTTCTAATTTCATGCCTTCAATGCTTCCTTTAAATAATTAAGGTAAAGAATTCACATACATTTTTATTTCCTTCCTATGTAACCTTTTTTCTCCCCTTCCTAAAGAACATTTTGTAGGCATGGAGAAAAAAAAAAAAAATTATCATCTAGCACAAGCATCCACAAAGCTTTGGAGTCCAGTATACAGATCTACTTCTGTTTTAGAAATGTTCCATTCACCATTCAGTCTGCTACTCATTGCAGAACTAGTGAGGACCTTAATAATTCTTAAATGATCTAAAGATTTGTTAAGTCCTATATGAACCCACACCTTCTTCCTGTTACCTTTTTTTTACTGTAAACTATAAGGAATATTCTTGTAGGATTCATAAAAACACTGGATTTGAGAACTGTAACTTCAATACAACATGACAACTGCTAGATCTTAAGAGCTAGCGATACACGGAAAAAATTCTAAACCACAGCCTGCTACAGTAGCTAACAAAAAAATTTGAAAAGGTGTTGCAACAGTGTTTCAAAGACAAAAATAGAATAGATAAAGAGAAAATTTACAATTTATTAACTGTTATAAAATTTAGAACATTATGCAATCTATGATTGGTAAAACTAGGCAAGAAGATTCTTCAAATTCACCTTCACCACAGCTTTTAAATATAATCATGTTAGTATTTAAATACTGTTTTCCAGAAACTAGATTTCATTAGACTTTTAAAAAATATTATTATTACTTGTGATCAGATATAGGAATTTCTCAGAGAGGTATTCTGTATCACATAGTGGTATTTTTGTGTTGTTAATTTCTGATACGCTAGAAAACAGACTGGCATTTTGCAAAATTGGATTTTCTGTGCAGCTGGTCATTGAAAGGCATGCTGAAGATGTATGAGTGACAACCACATTGAATTTAACATGAAATAAGTAGGATCCATTTGACTTTCAAATACGTTGTATTACCAAGAGAGCATTCTGTTAGGTTTACAACAGGTAAACACACTTCCTCTCAGGAAAAAGCAATTAGAATTAACACACACAGAGCTGACCTGCCCACTTACAATTAGGGTAAGCAACTAAACTACTACCTGTTTTCAGACACCAGATCTGATACTTGTAATTGCACATATTCTTCTCCAGTGCCATTTTTGGGCATTGAATTTGTATTTGCTCTCTTTCAGTCTATTAAGGAACAGACAAAACTAGTAATATGCATGCACTGGACTAAGGAAGATAAAATACAATACCACCTTTCCAAAAAAACAGACCAAAGTAAGCACAACAGCACATAGCTGTACATTATGAAGACATTATAAGACTTTAAAAATACAAATTCTAATGATTATAGAGAATCACAGGCCAAAATCCACCATCCAGCAGTCTGAGGTAGTAGTTCTGGAAGACCTCTCTCCTTATTTTGCTAGGAACCACAAACTCTCATTTTGTGGTCTCTGTGCCCAAACAGCCTCCAGCCACCTCAGCACCCACCAGTGTTCCTCTGTTCACAGAGAGCAGGTCTGGCAGGACCCCTCCCCAGGTCGGTTCACTCACCAGCTGTGTCAGGAAGTTGTCTTCCATACACTACAAGAACCACTTACACAGTTTCCTGTCCACTGCACTGCATTTCCAGCTCTGGTAAGCTGAAGTCCCCTATGTGAACAAAGGCCAGGAATTGTGAGACTTCTCCCAGCTGCTTACAGAATATTTTGTCTTCCTTTTCATCCTGTCTGGGTGGTCCACGACATACTCTCACCTTGGTATCTACCTTGTTGGCCTATCCCCTGATTCTTATCCATAAAAATTCAAACTTATCACCACCATCATTAAGCTTTGGATAATCAAAACACTCCTTACCATAAAGGTCTACCCCACTGCATCTCCTTTTTGCCTATTCCTTCTGAAGAATCTGATGTTTATACAAGTCACAAAACTGAAAATTACTGAGAAACAGCTAGAAAAGAGAATGTCTGGAAGTCCATCACCTGAACTCTGAAGAACTTCTAGAGGTAATAAAGGCAATAGGAAAATTAACTTACATAAATAAAACATGGGAAAATTAATATATATTCATATACATTGCATATAAATAGAGCATAAAAAAAGCTTTACAGGAAATATCAGTGCTGGTGAAGATTGGAACTTCATCATACATTTATTGTAAAGTTATTTAACCAACTAAAAGACACATGATATCTGATGATTTTTAGTTTGATGATGAAATGTGTATTCAGAACCAGGTAAGGAGAAAGCTTGAATTCTTTAACTTCAGGATTGTTTGCACTCAGGTATAATTGTACACAAGGATTAACAGTGTACATGAACGAGTTTGCTACTTAATGTGTCAGCTAAAGAAAAGGAGACTGTGTGACAAGTTCTATGTTCAAACATGTGGCTAAAGGGCTGAAAGGACTGTAATGACAAGAATGCTGTTAAGCACTGTGACTTTCAAAATCTTTGTGGCCCTTCACTTCTGCGACCTTGTTACTTCTTAGTGGTCATTCACCTACAAATGGCCAAAGTCAGTGGATTAGTCATAAAAGCAATGGTCTACTGGCGCTCTGGAGTTAATAGGTATGAGCTCTATCATATCAGAACTAGTGTGTCAAAGCAAATATTGGTTTTCTTGCTCACACTAACACATGGGGCAGATCAGTTCAGTGAATATTAATCCAATTACTCATATCCCCAGAAGTAAGGTTTATGGTCATATACTTTGCTTGTGCATTCATTAAAGGGCACAATTAAGATTGTTCAAATGCCCTAATGCTTCTCAATACTTTAACATGTTTGGATATTCTCTAATATAGCATTGACTTTGAAGAGTCAGGGTTATAATTCTCACTGTAATTGCAGCACTCCTGTAACAAAGTTTGTTGTAAATTATGAATATGTGCTATTAACCTTGACTTCAATTAAACATCAGTGTTGTCTGAAAACTACACTGACATTTAGGGCCAAGTGCCTAAATGATGTAAAGTCACTTACCTCTAGCTGGGTCAACAAAGCTATGCTGACTTAGATTATACATTATTTTGCCAGCTCTAAATACTGGGGTCAAACAACAACACTAATCTACACGGTAACACTGTGCACATTACACATATTAATACATTTAAAAGAGTCAGTAGCTTTCTACCATCGATTTCCATCTTGAACTCACCTACTTTGAGACAACCATTTTATTGTTATGGCATTGAAATTAGTGATACATTCATAGATACCCAAAACAGTATCACTACAGGCACTTTATATACTTGCAAGTAGTGGAAGAATATACCAATATATAGTTAATGCACTTGAGAGTCTTGTGAAATCACCAAATGCTTGGTCACTAAGCAAGTAATCTCTTAACAATTTTCAAATATGTTTGTTCATGTGTTTGTAATAACAAAGTACTTCACTGTTAAATTAGTTACAATGTATCTGAGAAGGCATCTTTATATCTATCCCCATCACCAAGAGGAAATGAAGATGGTTTAGTTAATTTATAAATACTTATGAAAATGTTGATTGTTGGGAAGACTTACTCATTTAAGGAAATTTGTTATAAAAAACATATTTTCAGTATAATGTGCAGAAACGGCCATCAAATACTCATAAGGATGGAAATGATAAAAAATTGCAGTATGAGATCAAGATTTTAGATGAACATTTTTTCTTGCTAACAGCTAGAAGCAGCTGCTCTGTACAGTCATTAAGTCTACAAAATTTAGCTGCAGATTCCTGTTACATGTTTTCATCCAGCAATGACACCATTTGCATGTATTCACAGAAACTAATACTTCATACTTTAAAGACTAGTAACTCAGGGATGTAGAATAGAAATTCAGGAAAATAGCCATTCTATATCTTAGAATATGATTTTACCTTGATTTAGTATTTTTAAAAATACTGCAAATTGTGTCAAAAATGGTGGAGAAAAATACACACACATATTTTCTCCAGAAGTTGAATTGATTAAATGTTTTTTTTTTCTGTAAATATATTTATTTCTATTTTAGAATATCCAAATGTATACATTTTTTACTTAATCCCATTAAGAGCCTTCTGGTGACAATTACGATAAAGTAACTGACTTAGCAAAAATGAACCATGACTTGAGTTTTGTAAACCCAATGTTTAGGAGGCCCAATACGATGACTATTAAAAAGACTGTTTTCAAAACACCCATTTGTTTCACAGAATCACAGAATATATCATGGGTATAATGGAAGGGACAACAGTGGGGTCATCTGGTCCAACATCCCTCAGGGTCATCCAAGAGAACATGGCACAGTATTATGTCCAGACAGCTCTTACATATCTCCAGTGAGGGAGACTAAAAACCTCTCTGGTTAACTGTTCCAAGGCACTGTCACCCACACAGGAAAGATCTTTCTCATATTCAGCTGGAACTTCCTGTGCATCAGTTTCTGCCCATTGTCTCTTGTCCTATTGCTTGGCATTACTGAGCAGAGCCTGGGTGTGTCCTCTTGACACCTCCCTGCACATACTTATGTACAGTGACGAGGTTCTCTCTCAGTTGCCTCTTCTTGAGGCTGAACAGGCACAGATACCTCAGCCTTTCCTCATAAGAGAGATGCTCCAGTCCTTTAATTGACTTTATTGACCTTCGCTAGACCTGCTCCAGGAGCTCTGCATCTTTCTGGATCCCAGAGCTGGACACAACATTTCAGGTGTGGCCTCACCAGGGCTGAGCAGAGGGGCAGGATCACCTCCCTGCTGGCAATGCTCTCCCTAATGCACCCCAGGATCCCACAGACCTTCTTAGCCGCCAGGACACACGCCTGGCTCACGGACAGCTTGTTGTCCACCAGCACCCAAGGTCCTTCTCCACAGAGCTGCTTTCCAGCAGTTGTCCTGGCGCCTGGGGTCATTCTGTCCCAGGCACAGAAGTTAGCACATTAATTTCTGAAAATCAAATATTTTAAAAATTACTGTTATAAAAGTGGAGTCATCTAAAATGCCAGTATCTTAAAAAATTAGCCATATGAATGCCTTTTAATGGATGCATCAACTCAATCATGAAGAGTATCTCCCCATTCCAGAAAAGTCATGAATTATGACTCTGCATTTTGCTTTCACAGAATTAAGTCACACCACAAAAAATTATTCATATTTCAAATTATATGACATTCTTAAGAATAAAACATTTTTCATTTTATAGAGAAATAAATTACATACCTGATAGGAGAAAACCAAACAGTCATTCCTACCAACAAGATTAACTTCAGTCATCTTTTAAAGGAAAAAAATTACAATCATATATAACGACATATTCCTTGTGCTCATCAGCTCACTTCTAATTTTCAGAAGCACTGTCATTATGAGATGCCAATGTTAACTTAAAATACAGTTAGAAACCTACCTTTCAATAAACTGCATGGCTTCTTTTGTCAGCCTCTGAGTAAGGTTCTCATAGGACAGTGGCTGCTGGATAATCTGATGGTCCCTCATTAAAAAGCAGTTTAGTTGTCGAAAATTATAGAAGAAAAAAATCAAAACCACAAGTGAAATTGTGATTATTAACAAGAAGTAACTTAATGCTTGGAAGGGTACTTTGAGAAGGCCAATGTACTGCACTATTGCCAAAGACACAAGGGCAATTCCAGTGATTTGGATTGGGATGACAAGGTCTTTCTGAACACCTTTTAAAAATACACTGCCTTGGCCAGGTTTGCAGTCTCTAAAATTGGTCACGGGAAGGCCATAAAAGTAATCAAATCCATGACTGAGGGGGTGGTGACAGAAGTCATTACTGCTTTCACAGTTCATCCCAAGATGCCACTTTCCTACAAAGAGAGAAGGACAGGGAGTATTTTTGTAGTTAAATCATCAAACTTACTTTTAATGTGCATTACTTCAAACATTAAACCGTCACTATCTGGCTGATATCCCCCTGCTCCCAGCATTTATTGTGTGGATCCCTATTTTCTATTTAAACTTTCTTTGTGCCTCCATCAAAGGTTTTTTTTTCATATCTCCCTCTTCATCTCAGTTAGAAATAGCTTAACATGGCTGCTGCTGAAGAACGTTAAATTCTGAGTGGGCTAGCAGGTCATTGAAGTGCAACAGAGCCCTAACAGACAGTTAACTTTGGAAATTAAGCATGTGTAGTTGTCATAAGAAAATACTGGTTTTAGCAGCTACTGATTGAAGAGGAACAAATATGGAAGTACAAAATATCTTTTCTGAAGTTTTCTGGCAAATAATTTGACTAGTTAAAAAAAAGACAAAATAATAATAAGAAAACAGTAACAAATAGAAAATAAATCAAGAATAGGAAAATTATTAAAGCATTTATTATTTAAATGATTGCAAAATCTTTGAAATTGCCAATATCCCTCAAAATACACACACACACACACACACACACACACACATATATATATAGTGAGGCCAATTATTTTGTATTTATATATTTCATATATATAAATAAAAAACAAAAGTAACAAGTAAATTGCTGTCAAATACTCTCTCACAGCATTTTGTCCCACTAGGAAATCATTCTAATTCTGCAATAATGTTGGACACTGTCTGACATAAGAAACCACCGAGCCTGATTTGCATTATACTAATGCAATATATATTCATGCTGATTATGGTAAGTATCTAGAGGATTTATTCCATGACTCAGGTACAACCTCTTACCACATGCTTATCCATTGCTTAGCACAACAGATCTAATTGGTAGCTGTTATTTGAATCAAAATGCATAATTATAAAAAAATTCAAATTCAGTTAAGCTTATTGAGATAGAGCTATGCCTTTGCTCTCAGCAAGAAAATGTGCTGAATATTTTCAAAAAGCATGCTGGCCTCGACAAAACAGATGACATTATATACTGCTGGGCCAAACTTTATTTATTTTTCTGAATCAAACACCTAAACATGACCAGCATAATTCAGGGGTTGTGACTGCAAAAGAAATAAACAAGAAAATCTACAAACCCCGTAAGTCTTCATTCCCATAACTTACCCCAAAGAAATTTGAAATACTTGTTTCAGAGAATTAAGAATACTCATGGCAGTAAATGCAAAACAGAAAAAAAAAAAAAAAAAGCATACACAGAATTTTCCCCTTTCTCAAATCATCACAGCTTTTGCACATCTGTAAGAGTCCTGATGCAAACAGCTCTGAACACCTCCTCCTGGGTCTCCAGAACAGCACATTCATCCTGCACTTTTTCCTTTGGCTGTGAGAAATGTAGGTACTGCAGTACCAAAGAGCGTGAACATGGGGATCAGTTCTGCTTTTTTAAAATTTAGCAAATTAACTGGATGTTCTTATTTATCTTCCACAAATAACAGAACTGAGTTATAGGATGAGAATGTCATATGCCTAAGTTCATCTGTCAGCAAAGGTGGAGAAAAAGCTCAAAATCTTGAATCTGAGTGCTTAGTTGAGTCCAGTTGTCCTTGTATGTCTCTTGATGGTCTTAAGTTAAAAATAACTTCTGTGTATCATCAAAACAGGTATAAAACATTTTCAGGTCTGCTTTTATGCCAGTGAAATTAATGCCTCTACACCTTTCTCATTCCATCATAACTTTTCCCTGTTAGATGGCCCCTTACCTGAGGTGGTATTCTGCTGGTGGTATTCTGAGCAGAATGATTCTGGTCACTACTTTTGACATGGTCCAGTAAAAATTATTGTAATAATTTAAAAAAACAAGAAGTACACACCATTGTACTGAAATTTCAGAAGTTATAATGGTGCTTTAAAGGGCTAGGTAAGGCTGGAACTCTGATTTTCATTCCCAGCACCCAAAGATGCAGATTTTCGAGAAGAAATGCTTCAATTTTTCTCTTATGTTTGAATGAGTGTCTTAATGGAATAATCATAAACCCAGATGTGCAACAGAGTGAGCATGAAACAAATGTCATCAAGTTAGATAAGTGATTTAAAGGTAGAGGCTTATAATCATGAATATAAATCCTCTTCAGGCTTCAAATTTTTTTTTTTTCTATCTTAATCTCAAAGCACCTATAATTCAGTAAGAAAATATCAAAAAGAAACTCAAATAAATTAAGTATACCTTCAAGGTCACTTATTATGATATGTAGTGGATTTTTAAACTGGATCTCAACTACAACCCAGGACAGAAAAACCTTGCAGTAACAAATTAGGGCAGGGGGAAATATAAGTCCTATTTTTATCGAAAGGGCTTCTTTAGCAAGCACAAAAAAATTGTTCAATGTCAAGACAAACTTGGGCCTCAGAAAAAGATTTGTTGAGAAGCAACTTAAGCCAAACAAAGCAGAGATCATGTTAGCAGGAAAAGCAACAGAAGCCCCCACTCAAATTATATTGGGAGCTGAGACGGAATGACACAACTGCTATTCTTAAATGGCTGGGGAGGTAAAAGGTTTTGATAGATCCTGCACTACTCTAAAAAAGCAAGTGATGGCTGGGTACACAATACATGTTTTGTTTCACTCCTTGTGACAATAACCCCTGCCTAGAGCTAGTGCTTGAACAGATTACTGTAATGTGCTTAGATTCTGGGGCCCTTCTGAATCTGAGAGCAATGAAAAATGCTCTCATCTCTTTGCCAAGTGATGCTTCATAGAATGGACACTTCACACAAGCATCATAAGCATTTCAACAGATTCTACCAAGCTTTTCAGTGAAATTTATGCTGTTAATTGTAAATTATGAGTACCGTAATAATTTGAGACCTAGACTTTTTTCCCTCTCCATCAGCCACAATTAAGACTTCTGCAGAACGAAAGCAATGCAATGAAAGGCAAGTGGAAGTGAGAGGCAAGTCCTATTCAGCCAAGAAATATCACTTGAAACTCCCTTTTTCGAAATGCAGAATCCTGAAGACACTACAGAAATCCATGTTTCCCCTCTATTTTTCGCTCAGATAGTGGAAAAGGGAACAGTACTGCAGTGGTCTTGGTACAAAGACTGATTTTTATATAATGATATATTTCTTTTGCAAAGATTTTGTGCTTTTCAGATAAATGGAAAGATACAAGATAAAGAGCAAGATGCAAACAGAAATATTTTATGTTCTTAGGAAATATATTTATTTGAAGTACATAGCAAAACTTATAAAAAGTGTATGTGCATATGGTATTAACATGGACATAATTTTGGTTGTTTTATGAATAACTGTTGTATTAACTCTACTCCATAGACTCAGTCAATCTTGGACACCTTACTATTGTGATGTGCCCAAACATTATAATATTCATTCTGAAAGAATTAAATACCAGTTATCAATTAGTATTTTCAGTCTGGAAATAAGCTATATAGGTGGATTTTAAACTTCTCTGGATGCTGGACAACACACTGGATAGCAACAATGAGGAAAAATTAACCTTTACTCAACTCTAATTGAATAAAGCAGTAGTCAAAATACTATCAAATATAAGGAAAATTTTTGCATTATGAATAGCTATTTCCAACAAAACATCAGCATTTCTTCCCACTGGTGAAATATTAAGTGTTCTATGCATCTGCTTTTTTTGATAGAACTTAATTTTGTTGCAGATCTGATTGTGTGCTTTCCTGACAGATCTATTGGTTGTCACCTTCTTCATGTCACAGGGGAAAACAATGAGCTAGAAAAGTGTATACATAAAGTAGATTTATAGATAAAATATATTTTGGGGCATATCAAACAAAAGAAAGCATATATTCAGAGGACAAAAAAAAATTTAAAAAAGAAACCAATGCGCCTAGGGAAGAAAAATAATGTCCTCAGGGAGGAGACTGGCAAAAAAAAAAAAAAAATAGAAATGACACTACAGGCTTCAGGATCAGAAAGGCTTCAAATTACCCTTATGCCAATCCATCACTGGTGCAGGATTTGACAATTAATTCTTTGGGAACTGCTGAGTTAGATTGAACCAAGCAAAGACTCCCTGACCTAGACCAATATGATGTGATAAGAACACCAGCTAAAGCAGAAAATATACTGGTTGTGAATCAGACTGCCTATCTAGTGTTCAAATCTACAACATTTTTCTTTCTGTCATTTACATATGCTTTATCCCTAATTTTAATGCACTTTTTGATTTTTGGAAACCTTCATTATACTCTAAGGATATGGTAATATTACATTTTATGGTCTCATAGCTATCACTAAGGCCACTTGGAAGAACTGTTCATTAAGCATCATGGAAAGAACTTCTGGAGATCTAAGTGGCAAGCTGTCATGCTGCAGCAAAAGTAGTTAAAAAAAGAACATTAACTGGGTCAGCCCCAGAAAATGAGTTGTATTACTGTGCTTGTTGCAAACAGAAAAAACTCAGTCTTTAATTGAATATGGAGAAATAGAAATGAAGTCCACAAGGAATATGACAAATTATGAACGGCTTTTTTGTACTATGGTTCAAATACTTACATTAAATAAATTTCTGATAAAAATTTCTGGTTTTCTATTTTCATTCTTTCAGGACATCATGGTATTTTATGTTTTATAAGACTGGGGTATAGCTATGTAGGTTTTTAGTTAGAATGCTGCCACTGGTTTATCTACATAATGCAGAACAGTGGTGTGAGTTGTTAGCCTTGCTAAACCGCCTGTTTTTAAACAAAAATTACTCTCAAAATCGAGTTTCTGTTTCATTTAAAAAATAAATTGTGTGTGCATCCTACATCTAAATTAATTCAGTATTATTCCAGTATGACGTTCACTGCACAACTATTCCCTGGCAATTCCAGTACAGAAACACATTATGTAATACAAGTTGAACTTCTCAAGAATTTTCTGAAATATAAGTAGTGTGGAGTGTAATAAGTCAGTCACCAAATTAAGAAAAAAAAATTCAAAAATCTTCAATGTTATACTTTTATGACATTAATTCCAATTCTATTTAATATTAACCTACTATGATTCCTTTTGCCCATCACTGGATATTTATGCTGCAATCAGTTGTCTGAGCTATCTTTATAATGAGAGAGAAATACATTTTTATATGAAATATCTACCAGATAATATGAAAAATTTCCTAGAAATGTCCATTTCTGTCTGATGACTAAGATGGTAGCCCAGGTACACCGTTACTTACTTTATGGGAATTTGAACATGGTGAAATTAAAACAACAAAGCGCTGGCTTGTACTCCTTTGATCAACCGCTCATTGTATCTCTGATGTAATCAAACTCCTATTTCTACTGAAAACTTTTCAAGAGCTTGAATAATTTTCAGTTTGTTCATCATGTTTCTTCAGTACCTTACAAAATGAGACTAAAACTACACAAGTGAATTAGATGTACTTACCTGACTAGTGCTTCACATAAGCATGGGAATGTGCTCATCTTTGTTCCAGAAAAATAAATTCATTATGCTGTGGGGGAGAAAAGCTTAATGCAGGCCCTTAAAAGCCTATACGGGAAGCTAATGTTCTTTTCATTGAAATGACAGCGAACAGTGCTGTGCATGTTTGCAATTTTACCTATTAGAGCTGTTGTGTAACCTTTCTGCTTCAGGAGTTTGGAAAAAGTTATTTCTTCAGAAGGAAGTCCTCCAGAAGAGGCAGAAAATAAGAAGACACCAACTCGTGAGAAGGCAGCCATTCCTAAATACAGTACAAATGAATGAGACCAGGATAATACAAAGAAAGATTTTCCATTCATTAGTTCTGCATGCAATTTTTTGCCTTAGGTGGTATCACTTAAATGACATATTACAATCAGACACTAAGTGTTGCAAGTGGAAGATACAATCATCCATTTAGACAAGTGAGGTCTTTCCTGTAGTGACAGCAGAAACAGATGTGGAGAAAAAAATTTGATCTTATAACCATGGGGCCAGACATCACATAAACAGCTGCAGCCTCTTCTGTAGATTTTCTAAGATACAGCAAAATTTTAAGAAGTTGAGCTTGCATAATTTATTTTTGTTTTACACAGGGAGGGAAAGAAGATGAGGACTAGGTGAGATCATTCCCAAGTTCTACTTTGAGAATTTCCCCTGTCCTCATATGTGGTTTTCCACAAGCCCTTGAGGTTTTTTTGAGAGAAGGCATATTGAAATAGGGCAGTCTTACTTCTGGGCATGTAAATATCATGAGGTCAGAAAGAGCAAGAGGGAATCTGATCCTGTAAATAGAGTGGCTTGAGCTGTCAGCACTGATGGGGTGCTCCAGTGGCATAAAGACACATCATCCAATGCACACTGAATGAGTGCACTAAAGGAGCATCAGGTACTGGCTAACAAGACAACATCTAAATAAGGCACAGTAATTTCTATATGCTAAGAGTATGAGAAACACAAATGAGCTTACAAAGTGCTCTCAGGATGAGGAATTTGAGAGCTCAGGTTCATGAAAATTAGATTACTAGGATTCCAGATGAGAGCTGGCACTGAAAATAGACAGTAAGAACAGAGAATATCTATGCAAATCTGTGCAGATGTATCTTCAGGAAATCTAAATTATGCAACTGGATGATTACAGTGCCCAAGTTACATGACTGATGTAGACAACCAGAATCCTCCCTCAGGTATCCATTTTGTTTACATGAGAAAAAGACTCGTTAGACTGGTTTATTAAAGAGAGCTCAACCTACCCCTTCAAATACTGACTTCAGTTTTTCACCACAGATAGTTTTGCTGATCAATACTTCAGATAGCTTTAGTCATATATTTATATATATTTTACTTATTTATATTTATTTTTACATATTTCAAGCTCTTGTAACAGAAATCAGTGTAATTACATTAAGTTATCAGAATGAAAGTACAGAAGCATGATTTCTATTTTTTTTTATCATTACCTTTCTCTGAGCTTGTGTCTCATCCAATACAGCATATTGGAATCTTTTTCTTCAGCTTTATTAGCAGGAGATTTATATTTCTAACATATTTTCTACATTATGATTCTAGTGTCTTCTACAATAAGCCTTTACTAGTTCTTCACTGATATTCAGAAACAATCCATATTTAGAAATTTTGTAACTTAAGTATGACAAAGTTCAATTTTTGTACCTACATGGAAATTATTAAGTATGTCTGAGAGCTGATCAGTGAAGAAAAAAATTAGTTCAAGTCCTAATTTCTCAATAAGAAAAAGCAACATAATGGAAAGTGACCTGTGACTTTACCTACAGTAAATATTAATAGCAATATATCTGTAACAGGTATATAAAATTTTCCTTTGCAGATGAATGCAATGGAAAATTTAGCAAGTTATATTAGCTGGCACTTTTGCAGAAGCTTGTTACTTGATTTGAGTGAGCACGAACGTATCAAGTAGGCTCCAGAGTCCTGCTTTGCTTTCATTCCCAGAAGCAAGGACAGGATGTTTTATCACTAATGAACAAGTGATCTGATTAATGTATAATGATCCTTGCTAAAAATGATGTTAAGGGAAAGTTAAAATTGCATGGCTAAGCACTGAAAGGCTCAGTCACACTAAAATAAACAGACTAGATCTTCATGGACTCAAATATGCTTTGGATCAGGTATTTTGAAAGTAACAGAAATTAAAGGTATGTATTCACAGGATGCTTAATGATGTGTATGGGTAGATATGGAACAAAAATAACACTTCAAATAGATGAGATATTTTTTGCTCTCTTCTTCCCAGTTTTTGAGGCAACTTGAGTACCTTAATGAACTGTCCTGCCCCTACCTCCCCCCTTCAAAAAAAAAAAAAAAAAAAAAAAAGAAAACCAAACCACAAACCCAACACCAACAATTTGTCTTGATGCCTTGTGAAGGCTGACCTAGAACAGAGATTAGATGGAGCTAAAGAGTAAAATAGGTATTTATTAAGAGGCCTCAAATAGATCCTCCTTGGGCAGCATAACCGAAAATGGCCACAAAATGGGCAACAGGTCACGGGGTCTCACATTTTTGTAAGTTCTGGTCCATTAGCATATTGGAGCTAATTGTCCAATTACAGCTTTAGCCCATGAAGTCCCATCCTTCTTGTTATCTCTGTTCAGTCCACCGTTGTTTACGCTCTTGTGTTTGAGATCTGGATCTGCTATCCTTGGGTCCCCAGCTAGAGAAGGAATTGCCTTGTGTACCTATTATGTGGAGAGAGCTTACTATCCCCTAATATGAAGCCTAGACTTACACACTAAAGCAGAATAGAATCTGAAACATAAAAAAGCTAAAACCCGAGGCATCAGTCCAAACAAAAAGGTTTAGCAGAAATAAAAATGCCTGAGAAGAAGTATTTACATTGGTCTCTTCCACTGAGTGTTTCTAGATGCATCTCTGTGGTGTTCAATACTTGGGCTGCCCACCAACACAGTGGGAGCAGCCTGAATGCAACTGTGGAGGCAGGAAAAGAGCCTAGGGTCATTGAATAGTGGAGGAACTTCACGGAATCACAGAGAATCACAAGATATGATTAGCTGGAAGGGACCTACAGGGATCTTTGAATTCAACATCCAGCCCTGCACAGGATATCCCCATGAGTCACACCATGTGCCCCAGAGTATTGTCCAAACACTTCTTGAACTCTGTCAGGTTTAGTGTACACAGCACTTGTGGTGAGGCCACCCTAGCACAGAGCAGTTCACAACAATCCCCTCCCTTGCCTCGCTGGTGATGTGCCTGATGCAGTTCAGGACATGGTTGGCGTTAAATAACCACAGTCAGATTGCTTTTGTTGCTATTTAAACAAATAAAATTATTTTACTCAGTAAAAAAACTTCATTTTTGTATCAACTCTTCTGAAATGTGAAAATTCCCCACATATATGAAATATTTCTAATGTAGACCAACCCTGTTGAGCTTGATCAGTCACTGATCATTTACCATTACTTAAACTTGTAATGATAAACAAATCAAGGAAGGTCAGACAAAATACCTTCATACAGTTTGCTATAAATAAAATAAAATATTTATATATAAATAAAGTGATGGGATTTTACCTGATCTTATAGGATATCTCCCTGTCAGGAAAGCTGCCCTGCTTGGAGTACAAAGTGGGGATGCTGCTATATGCTGAGTAAGTGTCACTCCTTCTTCTGCTAGCCTGTCAATATTAGGGGTTCTGGAAAAACACAAGCAGGTGAAAAAAATACAAAACCAAAGATGGTTATTTGGACAAAGCATGATAAGAACAAGGCATCTGAGGCAAGAACTATCAGGAAAATCCAGCTAATTTACTGTATGTAAATTTTCAAATGTGTGGTGGGATTGCAATTCCAAATCCTATCACATCAAATATTTTTACATGAGGTGTCTGAAAAGAGACACTGTAACATTGCAGCAAAAATCTTTTTCTCCACTTTCTTCTATTTTTCATGGTCAGTGTTAACCATTTTTAATGTGTTCCTTGACCAGAACTGTAATTTTTTTTTTGCTTCAGTAATGAGGGTAAGAGAGACTAGAGAAAGGTTGTGCTTCCTTGCTCCCTACTTGGTGCATCTTCAGTCTCTCTCCAGTAAAAGCTTTTCGGGGCAGGGATAATGTTGTGTGGTACTATAAGCTATTAGAAGAGATTCAAATGATTATGACTCTGTGTTATGCTCTATATTAACAATATCTACATATCTGACATGATTATGTCTGCTATATTAGACCCAGAGGCACAACCCAGCTACCATATCTGAATGGGAAACTTGTCTGTGACCTGGCTCATCATGCAGATTAAAATTGGTTCCTGCAGGAAGAAATCTGTGTCCTTGGCGCTACAGATAAAAATTACTAATGCAGACTGGCCAGCAGCTGAAGCATGCTCTAATAGCTCTCTGACCCTGGAGATTAATGACCGTGACCTCAAGGCACACTAGTGCTTCCATCATCTAAGTCTGAATAGACAGAAACATTAATTTCCCAATGGAATTATTTTCTATCTGTAAAGTCACCAAATGATAACAATCATCAAAAAGATGAAAATTCATCATATTCCAAAAATCTAATTCAGAATTCTCTCAGCAGAGATTATAGATCTTGAGGTTGTTCTGGTGCCTGTGAGGGGAGTGATCCAAGCATCAATGTTCTATGTATTTTTCCTTGTTTAAAACCAGAAATTGTAACTTGATTTGTATTTTTATTCTGAGTTATGAGAAGATTTTACTTCTAACTAACATCAGCAGGAAAAAGAGCATTTAACATTTGACAGACAGTGCTTTTAGTCTGAATGTTTTATTTAACTTTGCACCACTGAAACACAATGGCTAGATATCACTTGCTCTGTTTACACAACCATCACATTTAAGCTGGTAGCAAGAAACATCCCAGGGCACACTGATGTATTATTCAAGTACATTAACATTTGCTTTAATTAATAGATTGACTACTCTATGAAGATAAATTAAGGACAAATATCAGCTCTTTATTTCCAGTTAGTTAACAACAAGCTTGTCCCAAATCATAAGTGTTTCAAAATATGTTTAATTCATCGTACTTGTGTCCTGTATATTCTAGAAGAAAATTGCTCTCTAGAGCTACCCTTATTTGGTTGGTTGCTCAATCCTCTGTTTATAATGCAACTTTTCAGCAGGATAAATGCATTAGCTAAGTCTTTGATCAAAAAAAGAAAATAAGGATTGAATATTTAAATCTCTGGAAAAGATATCAAGTTTGGTTACTCATAAAAAAACCAAACTAATCAAACTTCTGAATGTTCTGGCATTTTTAATTTTAAAAATCCATTGAAAACTAAATACAAAGCTATGACTCCACCAAATTATCATCCTACCTTAAGGTTCTGTTCCCGTAACATCCTAAGTCTCCAATACCAAGATCATCAGCCATCAGTAAAATTATATTGGGCTTTGAAACACTGTGTGTTTTGATAATGTTTATGGCACACTGGCAAATTATTAGAAGTAAAAGGAGCCCCATCTTCTTCCTGGTGTGTAAGAACAGGTGGAAAATATAATAAATAGATTGTTAACCTAATTTATACTTATTATTACACTTTGCATAGTAAAAGAAAAAAAGAAAGATTGAATGTTTTTAGATGGCTTTTTTTTTTTCTTGGAAGTTTTTTAAAGTTTTTTCTACCATACTTCTTAAAAACAAAAATGCATATTTTAGTATATGGCTAATTTTTCCTTCCACTCCCTTACACAGCTGAAGCCTTTAAATAACGACAAATAAAGAACCAGGTACAACCTCAGTGGCAATTTTGCACATACACATGTACTACTATATAGTAATATATAGTAATAAATCATGAGAGCTAACGACGCTTGGGGGATTTTTTATCTTTTTTTTTTTTTTTTTTTGTGTGTGTCTGTGTGTGTGTGTATGTTTGCTTTTTTCCCATTTACAAATGCTATTTGAGGAACATAGATAGGACCTAAACCTCTAAGGCTCACTGCAGAAAAAAAAAAGTTAATTAATTCCACTAATGAAGTAAATTATTGAATTTCTCTTCAACAATGGGGGAAAAAAACCCAGCTGAAGTTTCTGAAAAGTTATAAATAGTATGGAAAAGAGGGTGAAGAGATGCACTATGAAATTATTGTAAGGAGTATTTAAGAAAAGGCTCTTCACAAACATTACAAATACCAGGGTCTATAGCAAAATCAATGAAAAATATTTTACATCGTATCAAAATGTTCTATAAACAATGCCCATGCCATATCCAACCTAAAACAGGAAGAAGGATGTATTGTACACAATACACCATTATATGCTTTTATAGTAAAAGCAGAGTATTTGCAGATGTGCATGATATGAATGCTGTTTTATCTTAATCAGAGCTTGTGTCCCTGTGTTAAACTGCACTGACCATGTCCTGGCTGAAACTGAGTGCCTTCAGGGTGTAATGGGCTGTGCCAGGCACACACATCAAAAAGAACAGAGACTCTGTTCTGTCTCTTAGTAAGATTCCCATGTTTTCTGGACAAAAGCAGCCTTTTTAAAATGCAGGAGAGGCTTGAGTCACGCCTGCACTCCACATTATTCTCAGACAAGTGAAAGAAACTAGGACTTAGGTAGAAATTTCTAAGTGAAAGAGTTGAAAAAGGAGATAGAGACAATAATTTCCAGAGAGAATGAGGATAGCTGGTCAAGAAAGAAAAATCTTGTAAATCAATGAATTATGGTAGATAATGTAACTGGAGAGAAGGAAGTCAAATTTGAAAGACTGGTACAAAGAGACTAGACATTAAATGAGACAGATTCACGAAGAAATGAGGTGGGTAAAGTTATTTGTAGAAGAGAAAAATAGGCAGAACTAGAAGGCTTTACTCTGATGTTAATAGCAAGAATGGAAGTTGATAACCAGCTGGAATGAGAATTGCAGGCAGAAATGAGGAGAAATGGCACGGTAATAAAGAAGCTGAAAGGGATGACAGTGAACAGGAAAACAAAACTGAGGAACAGATGTGGGAGAGAACTGGGAATGTCTGGGAGGAAAGAGCTGAGGAGTTATGATTACGGTCAGTGAAGACAACTGATTGGAAAGAACCTGGGAAGATAAGATTTGGGACTAACATAACTGAGAAGAGATCAAAATAGCAGGGATCAACCAAAACAGACTGGGACTTCTGATTCCCAAATTCACTACTGCTGTTCTGTCACAAAGTGTAGGTACAAAGAAGGCTTTAACTTGTTTAGTATATTCGCTGTTTTTTACTGCTTAAGGTACATTTCATAAACACGTTGGTGATCATAGTTCTGGCTTAGACTCAGCCAGAAGCCTCTAAAGATCCCAGCCTTATCACTGCAGTAAATTGTTCTCTTGTTTATCCCATGGAAAGCAATCTACTTCACTTCAGACATGAAAAATAAATACACAAACTGTAAGTGTAAAAGAGTAAATGCATTTCTGTAAAGGATACATCCAATTCATCCTTCATCAAATCACCATGCTAATGAAGCTGTGTAGCCCCTACTATGGTGCAAACTTGCCTTTCTTCCCTGAAAGGATGAACAAAAGTTATTTGCTTCCCATGCATTCCAAGAGAACAATTAACACCCTAATCGACCCAAGAGGACAGGAACAAACTGCAGCCAGATCTTATGTTCCTACTCTTATGTTCAGACTGCAAAGGTCTCAAAGGCCAATGGCAAAAGGCATGTTGAAAAAGGGAACATTATATGCTGGTGACATTATGTAGAGAGCTGCATGGATGCTTGCAAGGCTTGCAGAAGGTAGCCTCATTTAATACCTCCATTTCTCATTTTGCAAATCAGCCAAAAGGTTATTGAATGTTGTCTCTCATACAATACTGCTGGATACTTCTCTACTCTCAAGTATCTGTAGATAATCTCACACATTGAGCTATTTGCCTTCACCTGATATCATGTCCCTGAAGTGAAATCAACAAGGAAACAGGGAAAAAATAATCCAAACAACTATGATTTCTCTGGTGTACTCCTTCTGCAGCAGATTTTCATGTGTCTTGAAAGGATGTGCATTGAAAGGAAGAAAAATCAGATGGATGAAATTGAGTGGAACAGACAACAGCAAAGAAATTCCAAGGAGCTAAAAGGGAAGGACGTGAGATGAATGAATCTCTGAGAATGCTGAGGGCTGTCTGTATTACACCAAGGTTTCTCCTGGTGTAGTCCTAACAGAAAAATGATAACACAAAATCAGATGAAGCTTCCAGCTAAGTAATGTTTCCTCTCTGTCCAGAGCCAACTCAAAGGCTTAAGAAAAGTTAAAAAACAAAAACAAAAACAAAAAAAAACCCAAAAACCTGGCAAAAATTTATTTTACTAGCACAGCCTTTCAGCTTTTGGCAGTCAGCATTAAAGGCATTTTGGAGAGGAGAACATTGTCATGAGTATTTCTTCATGCATATTTTAACCTTCATGGATTTGTTACAGTCTATTTTTAATTTATTAACTTGTGGTTTGGTTTGGTTTCTTGCATTGAAACAATTTGATTTTATTTTTTTAGTTCTGTAACACTCTTTAGATGTTCCTTCAGTAGGCATCAGCTTTGAAGGCTTGTGTTTCACATTCATCTGGCATCACTTTTCCTTCTTTTTTGCATGTGGGGCACGTAAGTGCAAGGTTTAACCTCTGCTTCATTTTCCCCATGATATAGTAGAACTAAAAGTAGCTTCTTCCTTTCTAAGGTGTCTGATAAGTTGAATAGATTCAAGAGGTGTTTAATCTCCTACAACAATAGCCAGAAAAGAATTTGTATTTCACACACCTTATTTCAACCTACAATACTTAAATCACTGTATAGGAACCTAGAGACATGAATACATACACACACAGATATGTCAATATGCACATACACACATGTATGTGGAGGTATATACACATCCTACTTTTTCTAAGTATCTCCAAATTATATTTTTGTGATTCTAATACATATTTTATATTAGCATTAAAAAAACCCCAAAGTACAAATATGTAAGAAGAAATGAACAAAAGAAAAGCCCCAAACAGATACAATCCTCTAGTTCACCAAACACTTCTTTTAAGTTTTTATTTTCTTCATTTAAAAATGCTGGTCAAAGAGGTGGTTTTTTTTTTGTTTTGTTTTGTTTTTTTTTTTTTGTTTTGTTTGTTTGATGGGTGTTGTTTTGTTTTGTTTTTGGGGTTTTTTTGGTTTGTTTGTTTGTTTGTTTTGTTTTGTTTTGTTTTCCATCAGGGTAACTGACTCAAGATATGGCTGTCATAGAATTATAGAATATTCTAAGTCGGGGACCTACAAGGATCATCAAAGTCCAACTCCTGGCCCTGCACAGGACATCCCGAAGAGTCACATCATGTGCCTGTGAGCATTATCCAAACACTTCCTTAACTCTTGTCAGGCTAGATGCTGTGACCACTTCCTTGGGAAGCCTGTTCCAGTGCCCAGCCACCCTCTTTGTGAAGAACTTTTCTCTAATATCCAACATAAACCTGCCCTGGCACAGCTTCAGCCCATTCTCTCGAGTCTTGTTGCTGATCACCAGAGAGATCAGTGCCTACTCTTCCTCTTACTCTCATGAGGAAGCTGTAACTGCAATGAGGTTTGCACTTGGTCTCCCCTTCTCCAGGATGAACAAACCAAATTATCTCAGTCGCTCCTCTTTGAGCCTTCTTCTCAAGGCCCTCCACCACCTTTGTTGCCTTCTCTAATATTTTAATGTGTTCCTTATACTCTGGCACTCAAAACTGCCCCCAGCACTCGAGGTGAGCCCACCCCAGCTCAGAGCAGAGCAGGACAATCCCCTCCCTTGCCCAGCTGGCCATGCTGTGCCTGATGCCCCCAGGACAGGGTTGTCCCTCCTGGCTGCCAGGGCACTGCTGGCTCATTGATCAGGGCCCCCAGGTACCTTTCCTGGCACTGCTCTCCAGCCTCTCCTTCCCAAGACTGTCCATACATCCAGGATTGCACCATCCCAGGTGCAGAATCTGGCACCTGCCCTTATTGAACGTCATATGGTTGGTGATTGCCCTGTCCTTTTAATTTGTTGAGGTCTCTGCAGGGTTTCTCTGCCTTCAAAGAAGTGAACAGATCCTCCCAGTTTAGCATCATTGGCAAGCTTATTTAGTATACTTTCAGTCCTGCATTGTTTATGAAGATGTTGAAGAGTACTGGGTCTACAGTGGAGCCCTGTGGAACCCCACTAGTGACAGGTCAGCAGTCACTCCACTCCCTGTAACCCCTTGCACCTGACTCATGAGCCATGGATAAACATATGATGTGTTTATCCAGCAACTACAGACACATGCATCTTTACAAGAACAATTAAATTAAAGTCTTTCAAACATCTCTTCCCAACTGAATCATCTCAGCATTTTTATTAACTTTGATTAAGCAATTTATCTGCAAACTACTCTTTTAATGTAAAACAACCCTTTGAGAAAATGCTTAATATACTTTATCCTTGAAGGTACAGTATTTTCTGATGAAATAAGCAACATTTAAAGATATTGACCTCATTTAAAAAATGCTGTGCTGTCCTTATGCAGTATGCAAAAAAAAGAAAAAAAAAAAAACTTGCTCAACAGAATGCTCAAATTCCAAAAATTTCTCAAAAGTCATACAAAAAATCACAATGTAAACAAACTAGAGAAAGCCCTGCCCTCCATAAGATTCTGCAGAGAAAATTCTTCGGCTTAGTGAGAAACAAAAAAAAAAAAAAAAAAAAAAAAAAAGAGTAGGCTTTTAAATTTTAAGAAATGGCAAAGTAATATTATGTATAATTGCTTCTTTTCTGGTATCAGTTTAAGATTTGCTAAATTCTCTCAATTAATTCTCTTCTTACAAGTCGGTAATATCTGTTGAATCTTTGATGTAACATAACTGTTTTACTGAAATTTTTCATTATATTTCAGCATGCATCATAATTATATACATATATGAAAATCTGTAATTAATTCACTAAAGTTTTCCCACTGCATGAAAGAAATTTCACTTTACATAAGCTGGGAAAAACATTTAAACAAAATCATGTTTTTTACATGCGAATAATTATTGAATCTGAATTAAATAGAGATGAAGCCACAGAGCCCCTACCAGATCTAAGTTTAGCTTAGGTATCTTTTTAAAATGGTCTCTCAAGAATTTTCTACTTTTGTCTCAACTAAATTACAGAACCTAAATGCAGTATTATTAAATAACAAACATTCTTTCTGGTAGCAAATTATAACCTGAATGGAGTAAAATACAATTTTTTGTGATATAATGTCATTATTTGATTTGTAATAAAAATCCTATATAATTAGATACACATATTAGAGCACATACATTTTTACCCTTCTACTGTTTCATAATATTCTCCATTAGCCAAAAGTTCATTAAAAAGTTGATTTTGCTTATGGGCTCTGATCAGCAACATAAGAAATATCCTCAAGATAAAACAGGTAGTTAATCTTATTTGCCAGTTATGCACCATCCTCAGAATGAAAAGTCTTTTAAAACACAAAAAAAGCCAATCATGAGTAACTAACTACTACTGACTATGTCATGTCACTTCCTGGAGACTAGATATAAGTATCCAAACCAATTAAAACAAACGTTTCTTACATACTTTGAGGGCTTAGCAAAACTCTGCCATTATATTTAGCTTACTTAACAGTTTTGAAAGATGTTGAGTCAGGGGTTTTTTTAATATACACAGATGTTGAGCGAAATTACTATTTTTGACAACGCCTTCTTCAAGAGTGTCAAATGGATGTGCAAAAGAACTTATGTGCCTCAAATTTTGCACTTTAGAGTTCTGCAAGCAGATAAAGACTGTAAAGCTCTGCAAGACTGTTACTCTTACACATCAAATTAACAGTTTGGTCACATTCATTTGAACTGGACAACATATAAACCACAGCTTCATCTCACTGACTGGTCACAAACCCTTCACCTTTGACTAACTGAGCCAATCTAGTCTCCTTCCAGTTTCCATTCATATTCATTGAAGTGTTTAAAAAATTTAAATAGAAGTTCTAATTACAACTAGTATTTGATTAAAACACTCAACTTCACCAACACACTGCCTTCATAGGGTTAGAGCACAGTTCTGAAGGTTGGTATTTAAGTCCTGCTCTAAGTCACTGAAGGGACCGTAGTACAAGCAACCACTTAACACTGAATTTTATTTTCTTTTAATTTGAAAGCAGATTCTAAAACCTTTTCACCAAAATGGTAGCCTTTGAAGGTCTATCAGAGGAAAACATGAAACCAAACAGAACAAAAACCCCAAACCAACAACTCAAACAACCCCAACCAAACCCACCTCTCTCCCCTGAATTACTTAATGGAATCCTCTGGAATCTGTCAAGATCAAAGCTTTGGATTTTATAACACTATATTCCTCTACCTACAATCACTTCATCAGACAGAGTGGTTTACCAGAGAAAATTGCAGGGAAATGGCCAGTTAATTTTCTTTGCTACATAAAGCTAACACATAACAAAATGACCTGATATGTTATGCTATTTCCAAAATAATGCTTCATTTAAATAAAAAAGGCATTTGAATTAGTTTGTTCTCAAACAGTAATTATTTTTATACCAGTTCTATTGTTATTTATTCTTTCATTATGATAACACTTAAGGACTCTCAATATTGCTGATTGTAATAGACAGAAAAATTAAGACATGGCTAAATTCAACCAAGAGTGATTTTACCCATGTAGAACGTAAGTACCTACATGGCCCACAGCAAATAGACACTCATGATGCAAACCATGAGTGAAAATCCATATGAATTTATTCATCTTCATGTTAGGCATTTAATCTGAGTTAATTACCTAAGCTTTCTTTTTAATTAATAGGAAGATACAGGCACTTTAAAAGTTTTTCCTTAAGACTGATATAAAGAAATTTTGGAAGGAATGCTTGTGACCTCTTTCCACAGACTAGAAAGTCTTCAGACTTAGTTTAGACTAGATTTATAAAAAAGTAATAGTTACATGAAATAAATTCCACCCTGATGATCTGTTGTCTGTATGCTCTCAGCATGAAATATGGAAAAAATCCCTTTTTTAATAAACAAACATGAAGATTTCAATTAGTATGATGTACTCTACCAACCTTGCTGGTGCAACGATTTCTTATTCTGTGAGTAGTAATTCCTAATAGAAATCTAAGAACTGGGCAGTTAGATTCTTTCCTCAGGAGTATTAATAGCAAAATTTTCCCCTAAGGGATTAATTTAAGTATTTTTCCTTTCCAGACTGTATAGCAATATGATGAACATTCCATCTTAAATATTTTATTCTTTCATTACTCTAAAACAAAAGGGACAAGAGTGATCAATCCAACAGCAATTATTATTTTATAGGAATATTGGTAATTCTCTAATTGAAGTCAGCTATAGCCAACATGTGTTTAGGTTGCAGACACAAATCTGATTGGAAAAATAAACTTTATTTTGACGTAGTTCTAAAAGAACAGAATTTATTCAAGCAGGATGATATATCAAGAAGCTCTTGTCAGAGGTGACCAGCCAACAGACTCTGAGCTCAGCCCATCTACTCCCTGCCTACTTTCCTACAAGCAACACACACAAGGCAACCAAAACAGCCAGTGACTCGCCAGTGATCACTAGATCCTGACACTTTCCTTCCTGAGGACGTTGTCACAGAAGAAAAAACACTTCAGTTCCTGATACATGGTAAGAAAAAGTCTGTTACTGTTCATGGGCACTATTCAGCAAGTCACATGGACAGTGAACATTATGGTCATGACACCACTCACACGTACAAGTATCTTCCATGTTCTCCTGACTCCCATCACACCATGGGAAATTCATTCATTCCAATCATGGAACAGTGATGCAAGTGTTTGTCCTGTCACATAAGAAGAAGAGGTAGGCTGTTTTGACAGTGGAAGGACACTCCAGGAGATGCCTCTTTGAGGACAGACCAGGAGCTGCCCTGTGTTGAACATAATCAGTTCCAGCCAGTTCTGCAATGGATCCACTGCGGATCACAGGTGCACCCTGAGGGAAACATATTTAAGAAAGAGCAAAAATACGGGGTGGGGGGGGAGGAACAGAGAGAGAAGGCTGTGAGAAGCAGTGGGAGAGGAGAAGAAAGAACAAAATGGCCAGAGCAGTAGGAAGTGTCTCACACTGCATCAGCAGTAACACAGCTGGACATGTCAGGAGTGAAGGTGTGGAGACTAGGAAAGTGAAAGAGCTGAATCTGAAGCTGAACCTGGGAGACTGGGAAGAAAACTTTTTTTCCTGTAAAATTAAATGTTTGTCCTTTTTTTGTTTTGTTTCGTTTCCCAATACTCCAACTAATTAAATATTTATGCTACCTATCAATAAATTAACTTGTATTCCCCAAGTGGTTTTGCCTATTGCAGGAATTTACCTGTCTTCATTTCATCACCAGTTTTTCACTCGCATTCCTACTAATTTTTCCCCATATCCTTGGGGAAGGAAGGCAGGGAGTGAGCAGCTGTGTGAGTTCTTGGCTGTTAGCCAGGGCCAATCCACCACATTTAAAATGAAAAGGAATAAATTGATCCAATGGCAAATCATTTTCATTGATTACCAGGAGCCAAAAATTTCTTTGCTGTTACTGAATCCATCTAGATCTAAAAGTGAACTTTTCACCAGGGAGTGAAATGGCAAAGATTATTAAGAAAAAAAAAAAAAATCAACCTTGAGACCAACCGACTTACGATGTTGCTGCTGCAAGAAGGAGGCTCACAGGACATAAACAAACATCTCCTTCCTCTTAATTTGCATAGGTAAGAGACATTAAAAAGAGACAAGTAGTAGCAGTAGCTTATTAAAGACCAAGCTCCTTCCCTAGAGCTTCTAAAACCGGAAAATCTGGTTTATGTTACTTTTGTCCTACAACTAATATTCATGGAATGTTGTCCTCATTCTGCAAATAGTTATGAATGAAATTGTTTGGAAGTTTTTTTTTACAAAAGTCATTCTAGCAGGAAAAAAAAATAGGTTAAAAAAACAAAACAAAACAAAAAAAAAAAAAAAACAAAAAACAAAAAAAAACCAAAAAAACCCAAAAGTGTATTTTCCTTTTTAAATTAGACAATTAAAAAAAAATTACTCTCCCTTACTTGTAAACACAAAAAGTAGCCTGTTTAGCACTTACAAGGAGAAAACAAACCACAAGCCACTTTTTTTTTGTTCTTTTAGGCTGGGAGATATTTTTACTGCATTATTTTGACTTGAGTTAAAAGACTAGCTCTCAAATTATCCAATTTTAACATCTAATACAAAATTAAAACAAAGATTATAACTTTATCCATTCACCATTTCTATTTTCCCCTCAAATAATATAACAAAAAAGAGCTTTAGAAAAGGGGAGGGGGGGGGAATAAGATGGTAAGTAATTTTCTTACCACCTTTAATGACAAGACACTCCACTAGTAGTATTCACTAAAAAAATAAAAGTACAAAACAGCTTAAAAATAAAATACAATCACTGCAAAACAAAACTGAAAACAATATCTAAGAATCATGAAATTAGGAGTCTTACAAACCAGGAAAATGTTTACCCTAGAAAGAACATTTACACAATTAAGAAAAGAAGGATGATGAGCTGCATAGTGGTTATATAGCAGTCTGATTGTAAACTACATAGATCAAGAGTCTGCTAAAAAATATGGCAGCCAAAAGGCAAAGACATTTACAAAACAAGACACATTAACCAAATCTGTGTCTCAATTCCAATGATTTGATCATTTACTAATTTCAATAATTCTACAAACGAATAACTGTCTTTCCCTTTAATAAAAAAAAAGTGTCTATACTTAGCTTGGCCAAATATTTGAGGGATAGACTTTAAACATCATAGGACTAAGTAAAAAATAAAATTAATGTCTTAAAATGAACGCTACCAAAACAGCAAATAATTCTAAGACAAAAAATATATGTCTACAGTAGAAGAAGAGACTAAGCAGATTCTTAAGAGACAGACAGAAAATAAAAATACTTGAATAAACTGTAGAAATGCAAATATCGTATTACAGCAGTACAGGAAAAACTGCAATTTAAGCCAGAGGTACCTTGGTTTGTTCTGCCCTGTGTAGATAGGAGACCCTTGCTCCATCCCTTCCTTTCTCCCCTTCTTTTTCTCTAGTTATTTACTCCTTGCTTACATAGGAACTCTACGAAACTTGTAAATTCTTGCTATTAAAACAGAACAGCATTTTTTTTTTTTTGCACATAGGAGCTGAGGCAAAATCCCAAGATGACAAAATGAAAATTATCAGTAGCTCAAAACTATAGGAATTTATTTAATTTTCACCTTATTTTGTATGACACTTTAAAATCATAAATAAACTAAAAGGTATTCAAAAAAGGCATTTTTCTATTTTCTTATGGCACACCTTTTCTTGTGGTACACCAGCATTAGCTTTTCCATTAACATTTGAAAGTTTCTCAGTAATAGCTCCAGGGGTCTCATTATCTTTTGGCTTGGTCTAGAGCATGCTGCCAGTATTTCTGAAGCAAATGACATGCTTTCCCAACTGTATGAGAATGTTTTTAAATACGTTTTTAAGAAAAGATGTTTTCCTTTGCTTTGTGCCTTTAGGTACAACACAATCATGTTTTTAAAAGATGGATTATTTTCATCAATGAGAAAAGAACGTATCAATTCCTCTGTCCAAAATGCCTTTTTTCAGGACAATACTTTACTACTATTATTAGACAACTAATACAGAGAACTACTTCTAGAGAACATACCCAGCTGTCTATTATAATAATGGAGGACCTGGACATGCGATTCTAAGAGTTACTCTTGTAGGTGACTAACCCATTTCAATACCTTCTAGTTTTCTTCATTATAATAGTCAGTTCTGTCAGCAGTGCAGAATATAAACAATAACAGAGAAAAACAGATCTGTTTGAGATCTATACCCTAAGACTTCCTTATGAGTATGGTTAGTCATCTGATTCTTTAGCATTGTAGACAAAAAGAAGAGGCCATTTTTGCACCAAATTTGAAATTTTGGTCCACAATACAAAAAAATCCAAAATCAGTGTCATTGCATACCTGAAGCTGTTCAAACTTGTGTTCAAACTAGAGTGCCATAGTCACAATTCTTGTTAAGCACATCTTAAAAAGCCATCTCAATTGTCCTGTAGTCCTGCTCTCAACTTAACTTCTCACCTAAACTACTTTTACTTCATTCATCGTCACCCCCAAACTTCCGCTCATACAATCAAGAAGCCACCCCACAAACTCTTCTGCAATCCTAATCTTTCTAAATCATGCTATACCCTATTTCAAATCCCTTGTTACTCAAGAGTCCCGTATCAGTGCACCATCAATGCAAACTGAGGCTAAATACCTTACGGATGCAGTGGCTCGACTCCTCTGATTCTGCTTGCCCAGGTGCTGCTATTGTCACTGCCTCTCTAGCACTAGTCACTGCTCTGAGTGCTTCGGTGCCTCGCTGCCTGCCTCCTCCATGACTTCCCTCAACATGGGCTCTTCCACGGGCCAGCAGCACACAGTGCTCCCTACTGGCGATTGGGGCTCTCCTCTGTGTTAGTGCAGCCTCAGCTGTTGGACTGACGGGGTTTTAGCATATATTTACTAAAATCCACCTACACAGCATCCTGAGGGCAAAAGCAAAATACGTGTTTGGGAGAAAACAGGATCTATGGAATACATATTATTAATGAGTCATTATAAAACTACATAGCAAGCAATATGTATGGTCAGATTCTGTTCCAACACTTGTTTTGGTTCTACAGGCTTCCCTTTCATCTTCCTTCTTCTTGCCTCAGCATGGTTGCTCAAATGCAATTTTTTTGTTTAAGCCTAGCAAATACAACCTATCCAGAAGTGATGAATTTTTCTTACATTTTCCCTTTCTCTGTTACTTTTTGCCATTCTCCTCTATCTCAGAGATTCCTCTTACACTCTCCCCTCAGTAGCTGCGTTTACTCCCAGTTTGCAAGTTGAATGCGTATGAGGTTACAAAGGAAAAGATTAGATTTATTTAATATCCCTTAAAAGTTACACCTTTGAACTGAATGGACTTTTTCAGATTACATACACTGCACATGAACCAGTCACTTCAAAACTACAAGCTTATTTCAGAACCTACCCTACTCCAAAACTATTTAACAATTCATTTCCATTTGATCCTTGAAACAGGCTCCATAATCAAAATTACATACAATTTTAACATTACTTTTTAAACAACCTGAGCTTAAGTGCTAAGAAAAAACTGCTGTGGCACAGCTGGAAAACCTTCTAGCTCATGAAGATCCCACTTTCTATTTTCTTCAAAATGCTTTCACAATTAAATTAATGCTTATACTCTTTTTAATCTGTTCAAAGCAGGGAATATTCTACTCCATTGCAATACCTGATAACAAAGTGCATTCTGTTACAAAATAATTTGCCACTATATTTGATAGTATCTTATAGACATGAGTGTATGGTTTCAGCAATGTATTCTTCATTGTAAAAAATACATTGTTTTAAGTTAACACAGAAAAGACAACATCAAATATGTTATTATTTCTCATAATTGCTAATTTCCTGCCATAAAGAATTTCTTTGAGCTGTGGAAGAACATGAACTGAAACTATGCATTACCCCAATGTTTACAATATAAACTATATATATGTGACTTTGGGGCAGAAAGGGTGTTTTACCTTGCACCATGGAATTGTTTCAGTTTTTGCCTCTCCTATGCAAACAAGATGGCTGTGCACTTATCAGTATATGGGTACAAAGTCCAGTCATGTGAAGTGAAACAGAAGAGTGGAGGGGAAGAAGGACAACACTGAAAAAGATATTTTATGCAAGACTGACAGGATTTCTTGATAAGACACTGCTTCACTAGTACAAAACAAAGTGTTCTCATAATGGATATATA